AACCCCCTGATCCTGATAGACGAGGTGGGTGCCCAGCAGGGAGGGCAGCACAGGCCCAACCTGTCCAGCAGACGGTGGCAGTGAGCCATACCTGCTGGCCCCTGGGCCTTCCCAGCTGCAAGGCTATGTTTGAAGTGAAACGTGTGGCTCCTGCAGGTCACATGCTCTGTTGACAAGGATGGTCCCTCCTATCCACAGCCAAGCCTATCAGACTCCTCTCCTACTTGGAGTGTCCCCAGCCCTGTGGGCTCCCACTGGTGAGCTTGGCAAGTCATGGGGGACAATGCACCAATGCTGCCTGCTATCCACTGCCCCAGGTTGACAAGATCGGCCGGGGCTATCAAGGGGACCCCTCATCAGCACTGCTTGAACTGCTGGACCCAGAGCAGAACGCCAACTTTCTGGACCACTACCTGGATGTGCCTGTGGACTTGTCCAAGGTGCGGTTCCTACTCACCTGGGGGCCTGGGCTGGTGGGGAGGGGCTGGCCAGTCCTCCAGCATCTTGGTGCTGCTCCTAGGTGCTGTTCATCTGCACAGCCAATGTCACTGAGACCATCCCAGAGCCCCTGAGGGACCGGATGGAGATGATCAATGTGTCTGGCTATGTGGCCCAGGAGAAGCTGGCCATTGCAGAGGTATGCTGTCCTAGGGTTCGGGGTTCCCACCATCTGCTGGCACCAAGTCTGTGGGGGCCTAGCTCCAGGGAGGCCCTTCCCCAGGGGAGATGGATAGGGCTGCTGTGAAGTTTGCCAAGAAAGCTGATGAGACAGAAATAAGGAGACACTAGGAATGAGTGCTGAGATGGCAAGAGCTGCCTCAGCTTCTAGGGCCCAGACTGCAAAATGCTGTAGTGCGATGTTGCACTCTGCTGTGACACGACAATCACCATGAGGACCATTCTGCCTGGGTCACACACTCTGGTTTCCCTGTGCTTCAAGGGCAGGGGCCTCAACTGTGCTTCTTAGATGTTAACACAACACCTGCATCTCCCTGTCCAGTCCAGGGATGGCCCTGCTATCTCCTGGTGCTGGGAGTGGGGAGCATTTTAAAGGTGAGACCTGTGGCTCCTGCCCGGAATGACACAGGGCAGAACACATCTTAGCTAAGTCCCTTCCTAGAGAGGAGCCCTGTGTTTCTAATGTAGCCTTTTTTTTCTGGGAAGGGGTTGAGTGTGTTTCTCCCCAATACCCCTTTCACAGCCTGTGGTAGGTGCTGGTTTCCAGCCCTCAGGGTCTTGATGGTGGCCTGAGTTCCCAGAGGCAGGCTGGTTTGCAGCTGGGGTAGGGGGACAGGAGGCTCCAGGACCCACCCCAGAGTTAGTCAGCAAACACAGTGATACACATGGCTCTCTCTGTGCCTATGTCTCAGACACCTTTGGCTGTGCTTTCAGAGCTTAGGACTGGCAAGGGTTGTGCTGGGGGTACAGTGGCTCATGCCTGTAATCCTACCACTTTGGGAGGTGGTATCCTACCACCCAAGGCAGGTGGATTGCTTGAGCTCAGGAGTTCAAGACCAGTCTCTATTAAAAACAGAAAAATTAGCCAGGACGTGTAGTGGTGTGTGCCTATAGTCCCAGCTACTCGGGAGGTTGAGGCAGGATTGCTTGAGTCCAAGAGTTTGAGTTTGCTGTGAGCTATGACACCATAGCACTCTACCCAGGGTGACAAGACACACTGTCTC